AAACGATTCAGAACTGCTGACAACCCCATCTGAACACCATGTAGGCTCTGAAACTTCCTCTAGCCTCTGGCAAGGCAATGGGTGGAGTGGAAAATCCTAGAAATCCAGAAGCTTGTGAGGCTTAACCTCGAAGTCTTTCACACAAAAGCGCAACAAGCGTACAATTCACCAAAAAGCCGTACGCCTTTAGAGCATTTCGTATATCAGGTGTGCCTAATTGTTTTTGACCTACGTTGCCATAAAGCTCGCCTCAAGGCATGTCTTTGAGAACACTTGGACAAATTTTATTATTTTGTGACATCAGCTTTAAAGGTTTCTTGTATTGAACTTTATGTCTGCAAATTGTGACTATTTTTTTATGATGGAAGACTAAAGTGTTAAATATGTGAATCATGCAGTGGCTTGTCGAATACAATGCAGCATTAGCATCCATATGCTTTATGGTATTGCTTGGATTTGTAGATGATGTCCTTGATGTACCTTGGAGGGTGTGAGTATCCGGTCACTAATCTAGATTACCACTTAATAGCATTTTATGTTCAGAACGGCTCTTCTGATTAATGCTATATTTTATTCCTGTGTGCTTTCTTGTAATTATGAAGAGCAGGAAATTAGTTCTGCCATCCATTGCAGCTCTACCTCTGCTGATGGCCTATGCTGGACATACAACTATCGTCATACCAAAGCCTCTTGTTCCATATGCTGGGCTAGAGGTTTTGGATCTAGGTATTCTCGCAATATAGTTACTCAACTACAATACAGTTACTGTCGTCATACTGCCCTCTCCCTCTAATACACACACACCAATAAGGATGCTAGGATCAATTCTGTTAATTTTCCCTCACGTAATTGTAGTGAGATGGCCATTAAGATCTCAAAGTATCATAAACAGAAAATGTAAAGGATGTAATTTGTACAAAGTGTATATCTCTCTGGGGGAAATGGAAAAGATATCTCCTATGTTTATGTGTTATCTCTGGAAGTATTGAGCATATAAAAGTGTGCACTAGAAGGTAACCACGTACTTGGCAGTAATTATGTTGCTAGCATATACATTAGGCTCAGCAATTCTGATTTTCAAGGAATCAGACCAATTATTAGCATTTGCACCTATGGAGTTATTCCATTTATCTGATCTGATTCTTTAAATAATTCTTTTTTAACGTGTAGTGGAAGTGATTTAGGTTTTTTAGGTTCTTTCTTAACAATTACAGTTATCATTCACTGGCACGAATATTGACTATAAATTAGATCAAACTGAGTCACTAGGATGAATCTTGTAAACAGAGACATAGGGAAACTTGTAAGTTCTGCATCTTTCTGTTATGTGATTGAGGAAACAATAGATAAATTGATCATATGCACGAGATAGCAATTGAAATTATCTATTTATATGCAGTAATCTCCAAAATGTTTACCACACTTGTAATTTTAACAAATGAATTCTTATCCTTCATCATAAATATGTTCCTCGTTAATGTGAAGGATGGATTTATAAACTATACATGGGACTTTTGGCGGTTTTTTGTACAAACTCCATAAATATTCATGCTGGCTTGAATGGTCTTGAAGTTGGGCAGACGGTCGTTATTGCAGCTGCTGTAAGCATACAGATTTAAGAAACAGTTGCAGTCCAACTCTGTTATGAAAATGACTCGTGTGACTGATCTGCAGATTTTAATACATAATATCATGCAAATTGGGGCATCTGCAGATTCTGAGTACAAGATGGCACATGCATTCTCTATTTATCTTGTCCAACCCTTACTAGCCACCTCTTTGGGATTGTTCGCTTACAACTGGTGATGCTGCTTGTTGTATTTATGTACTAAGTTGCTTATGCATATGGCTTTCTTCATAGACTTTTAACATTTTCGTTTCTCTTTATTTAGGTATCCTTCTTCAGCTTTTGTTGGAGATACTTACACATATTTTGCTGGAATGACGATGGCTGTAGCTGGGATTTTAGGCCATTTTAGGTGCGTTCTCAATCATCTTTCAATTATAGTTAGTAAATTCGCGTATAATACTCGTATTATACATGTACATACATATTTTTAATAAAAAAATTTTGTTTTCCTTGCACGTTTTAATGATTCGTTAAACTGCACGTTTTTTATACCTCCAAATTACTCTACACGTATTATACACGAACATACATATTTTTTGCTTTTAATGCATGTTAATTTGACACATTTTTCAATAAAACATATAAAAATCGCATTTTCTATACTGATTTTCAACATATTATCAAAGAACTGAAAATAAATATATATTGTAAATACATAAAATATTAATATTTAAAAAATGGCCGAATTTTTCAAACTATTTTTTTTGGCAAAGTTGCCAAATAATACACGTATGTATTTTTCACATACAATACCTGTTATGTATTTTACTAACTATGCTTTCAATTTCACTTTTGATACAAATGATGTGGATCTTAATTTGCATATTTTTTATTGTGGCCTGCCGTAATATGGGGAATCCTTATCACTATACAGTTCTCTAACTGGAACTCACAATTTTGCATAGCTAAAAGGAACTAGGGTGAATTCGTTGTTTCTTTCTTTCAAATCTGTGACATGGCTGGAAGGTCAAAATTATGCTCTCTTGTTTCAATTAATAATTTCTCATTTTATCTTTTTATTTTTATGCAAATATGGTTGTTTCTGCTTTTGCTTAACCCTAAAAATCTCATATCAGAGGGGTCATTTTTCCTCTCATGTATACTCTCATAACAGAAAGATGTTTAAGAAGTGAACCTTAAGCTGTACTACTTAGGTGCAATTTGTGAGAAAGAAATAGTTGATCTTGTCATGATCATCTTCTAGGTAAAGAGATTAAGTATGAAGTATTTGCATCGAATGAAGGGGTCAAAGTATAATTCTTATGAGCTGAGCCCACAGAACGTAGTAAAAATTAACAATGTACACCCTATGCAATGAGGCTGTTTCTTTCCTTGTATGTACTTTTTGTACACTAATTTCTAGCAGTCATACAGTCGTTGATGATTAACTCTTTTCTTCTTTCTAATTTTGGTTCAGCGAAACACTCCTGATATTCTTTGCACCTCAAGTATTGAACTTTCTCTTGTCAGTGCCCCAGGTTTGACTCTCTTCTCTCTCTCTCTCTCTCTCACACACACACACACACACACATTCACACACATGACATCTAAAATTCATGAGATGCAAGGCATCTTATACTGTTTCGTTTTTTCAGCTTGCTGGAATTGTTCCATGTCCACGGCATCGTTTGCCTAGGTAACTTTGTAAAAATTCTAACAAACAGTTTAGGAATTGCCTCAGGCATCTTATGGGAATGATCCTTATAAACGTCTCGCATGTCTTTTTACTTCAGGTTTGATCCTGAAACTGGACTTCTGACTGGGACAAAGGATGGGACAGTTGTAAACCTTTTTCTAAGACAATTTGGCAGGATGACGGAGAAGTCACTTTGCGTCTCTCTTCTAGTTTTCCAGGTGATTATTCATGCTAGTTTTGCCTATAACCTGCATTTTTAAGCAATAGGGAAAGATCCAGCTGAACTACCTTAATCCTTCCAGCGCATGAGTGTTTCTGTTTCCCATTTTGATAATGCCATGTCAGTCAGGCCCCTACCCTTATAAGTTGATCAAGCTGAATTATCCTTATAAATTTACAATGTACCCCAACTAGATATTCTAATATATCATGAATATGCTTCTCAGATGTATTTGGAGAATCGGGTACTAAGACGCCCACATAGTGAATTAAGGATCCATGTATTTCACCCCAATATGGTGCGGTTAAGTCTCAGTTGATTGTTTTCTTGGTACATTGGCTTTGGATCAAACCCATGGCTATTCTAATTCTAACCTCTTGCCAGGGGTTTAAGTCTTGATAGATTGCTTTAAACATGTATCCATCTCTTTAGAGTGGGTTTTTAGTGGTTTTACAAACGGTTAACCTGGTGTCCGAAGATAATGCACATTTGTAGTAATGTTGTGTTATTCAACATTTGCAACCCACTGTTCTGTACCTTGGATGCATTCAAGAAACTTGTTAAGATATTCTGTGTGTTCAATCCGGACAGGTACTGGTATGGAGGTTCTTTGGGATAGAGTTCAGTTTTTGTCTGTTCTCTGGGCTTCAGTTTCCCAGAGAATTTCACTCGAGTGAAAAGTGGCTACGTTCTAGTTGGTCTTAGGTCCTTTACGAGCACTGTTGAGTTGGTTGTTTTTTCCATGCTTTTGTTGTGTTTTGTTATCTCGGGTGTTCTTCTTGGTCACCCTTTTGTTTCTTCTCTTTGGGTTCACGTGCATGCTTGCGTTTTAATCGCGTTATTTAAAAATCACATGTTTTGGATGCATTCATGCAACAGGCTATGGCATGCTGCTTCTGTTTCCTGCTGAGGTTTTTCCTTGCTGGCTGGTACAAATGAGGCGGAAGAGATGAAAGTAACTTGGGTCTAATCGGTGGAAGCATGTTGTAGTGTATAATTTCCCGCAGGCGAGTCGATGGCTGCTAGAGAGAACATTTTTTGGTTAAAATACAAATGACTGGTTTGAAATTTTGACATCCTTAAGATGGTTCCAACTTATATTTGTTTATACTATGTTAAAGAAAGATGATAAACGTTAAATTTAGACAGACAAAATTTGTATTTTGGCACTTGAAGTTGAAATATGTACTTTTATTTTTTGAGAAAATCAAACCTAATTTTTAAAAAGATTATCGGTGATGCGGGTCGTGAGCTGTCGTTTGCAACTAGCGGTGATTGTTTTTTAAGTAGTCTTGATCCTTGAACATACGCACATCGGCCTCTTTTTCGTCGCTTGTTAGTGTTTCACGAGCTCTATCTTTGGTCAGCATCAGATAAACTCACAACAAAAGGGAAAGCTTTACATCCGAGTTTAAAACAATCGGAAAATTTCACCGAAAACACACGAAACCATCGGAGAGACGACACCTTGCGCGAATCAACCCAGTGTTTCCCTAACAATTCACAATACGTCAACGAAAATAACAAGAACCGCAAGCCTTCAACATTACATAACAAAACGAATAATCGAAAGCCAAGTACAAGTTCAGGGAGGATTTTGGCAGTTTAACAAAAACCCTCTTCCACCTGGGTTCCTTCACAATTAAAAAATTAACTTGAACACAGATATCTGCCAGTTAGCAAGGGTTGTGTCTGAAGACAGCTCAAGAAGCATTGTACATGTTTTTCATGTTCTAAGGGACATCATCTCATGTACCTTATGATTTTAAAAGCTAGAACCAACGTTATGATCTTAAACTCGAACAGAAGCTTTAGCCTTGACGAAACTGTCTCCACTATAATCCATGCATCTACAAGTAACCGCCACCTCTTTACCATCTTTTGAAAGTTTATCTAGAATTGGGCAGGTCCTAATCCGCATCCATTGCCTGATCCTTCTCATTGGTACTGTAATCCACATCCATTGCTTGATCCTTCTTGTTGGAACGGCTGGACCACAGTTTGATGGTTCGGTCATGTGATACAGTAGCAATCTGTTGCCCATCTGCTATCAACAACATAAGTTCGGATGTTAATCCAGAAACTAGCTTTCCAGAACAACAATTAGATAACTAGTCACTCGAAGAAATACCTGAGCAGGTTAAAAAAGTACTCTCATTTTGAGAATTTATTATAAAGCACAAGCAGGTTAAGAAAAGCTTTTAGAAACTAGTTAATTACAAACAAAACCCAAGAATGAAAGAAAAGCAAGAAGAAAAAAAAGAACGGTGGGTGCAGTTACAGGGTCTACGGGACAGAATTAGAAAGGCTGTGACACATAGATATCATATATCATAAAGATAAAAAAGGAAAATACAGTGTTTAGGTATTTCCAAAATAGTGTCAAAGAGAGGGAAATTAAAATGGAGAACTGGAAGAAAAAAGGGGCAAGGGGTTAAGTGGAGGACATCTGCAGGTTAATGAGTTGTCTTGAGCTGCAACAGACAAAAGGTTGTTTCTTGTTGAAGTTTGTTTGCTTTCACTACAATGCTCCGTCCAGGAAGCATGCCTGCGAGAAGCGCAGAGAGCTCCTGACCTAGGATTACAAGGCAAGGCATATGTTCATATCCAAAACCCATATATATACACATAATCTCAGACAATGTATATTGAACAGTGCCACTAGCTCAAGATACGATTGTTCTAAGGGCCCCTTAGAAGCCCTTGAAAGCATTACACTTTAGAGAAAAAGACTTCAAGCTCAATAAAAAAAAAAGGTCGTACCCAGTGCATAAGGCTCCCGCTTTACGCAGGGTCTGGGAGAGGTGAATGTCGGCTAGCCTTACCCCAATTTATGGAGAGGCTAAGGTAACAGCTACAAATACTTTAGGTAAAAAAACCCAGGCCGACTTTGTAAGGTTAAGGGCACCAAAAGAATTTCACAACTAAGAATCAATTAGAGTATGACAAGTGGATAGAAAAGGGCTTTTTCTCCTATTGAGCTTTTGAAGTGTTTTTGTGTAAATTTTGTCGTTGTCCATGTGGTTTTTCTAATTTACTATTGTTCTAATTCATATGAACATTGCCTCATTAATTATGACATCATGCAATCAAAAACATTCTTTCAGAACCAATCCTTCTGAACAATTCCTTTTAAATAAATATGTTTACTTGTGAAGCTGTGAAGTTCCACCGAGAAATCCCACTTCTCACCACAGAAAAACAATACAAAGAATGATGCAATACCTCCTCAGGTAACAGCTACAAATAGCAGCTGGTAGGGTTGAACTAATAACTGGTGAGAGTTTGGGGTTTCAAGTACTGACTTTAAAATGTCTGGGTGAGACTTTACTGTTTGAAATTCTAAACTAAGTACAAACTGACCGCAACAAACCTGCTTCAAGGACTCAATCTAAACAGCTACAACTTATCACTTTTTTAAATAGAAACATTATCATTCTAATATCAAAAGGAAAAAAAAAATTACAATGGGGAAAGGAAGATAGCAGCACAGAATTAGATAACGGCTGCTCTCCAATTATGCAAAATACAAGAGAAGACACGTCTTTAAATTCTTTAGTAACTGAAGCCCAAAGAGAGGAGCATAATTATCACTTTATTTTGACAGGTTCTCTACTGCCAAGTCAAAATGTCCAAATCATCATTAACAGTAAAAAAAGGCAGCAACATTGTTTTCCAACCGAAAAACCAAATTTGATGTGGCATGACATGGAATGGCAGCTCTCACCCTTGCTGTCAAAATTGACAGCAGTTTCAAATTTTTATTGATTAATTATTACATGCTTTTTATTAATTTTATTATTGTTTGAAAACATTTATCTTCCTCCCACACCCTCACCAACTCTGAAAATATCAGTCTGCAAATTCCAAAACCCAGCTTCTTGGTTCAGAGAAAACTCAACTCCGCCACAAATCTTTGAAGCTGGGCGTTCTCTCCAGCCAGTAATTCCTCATTTTCTTCTTGATAGGCCTATGGAGCTTTTTCGCAAATGGGTTTTAGGATTTGGTGTGTATTTGAGTACTGAATATTTGACCGTTGAATCTTGCAATGCATTTGAATCAAAGGGAAGAGGCTATGCGAAATTGTATCGATTCAATTTTTTTCGAATCCAATTTAAAAGAAAAGAAGAAAACCAGACGGCTTGAAGTTATATAGGTATCAAACTTATCGAGCTGATTTAAATAACTTTGCAGCTCAGAAGCCTCAGTTTTTTATGTCTTGGGTATCAATTCAGATGCCCATTCTGCTGTAAATGCTATCTGGGAAATTATGAAAATAAAATAATGGAATAAAATAACAAAAAGAAATTAATGTAATCAAATTTGTAATTATAAAACAGAAATTATGAAAAGAAATAATATAATAAAATAATATTTTAATTTGACATATCGGGTGGAGAGAAAAACTTAGAAAGATGTCAGAGTGCCACATAGGCCATCAAATTTAAATTTTATGTTTAAAATTTGACATCTCCTTTGGAGATGGTCTAACTTGGTGAAGTCAACACACGATGACAAGGTCAGATTGCAGTGGTACACAGAAGAAAGTCTGAACCTACTATATAAGGGAGAAAAAAAGTACCGACCTAATATAGTACAAAGTTAGGAACGGGTGAAAAATGTAAGAGTGCCTATATGTCACATATGTACACAATATATATCAAAAGGTGTACATTACACATACCAAAAGGTGAGATATGTTCACAGCTCTGCCTGCCCCACTTCGTTCCACCCATCAATATCTTATTACACTTAGAACTATGCCATGATACAGTCATACACCCAAAAGATCCATCCATACTTTTTATCAATAAAGTCCCAGCATACTTAGGTTGGTGAAACAAGAAATAATAATGAAAAAGAATTGCATGACTTGGACGAGGAAACTTACCTCCAGAAATATCCAAAGATGTAACTTTTGCTTCATGTCCAGAAAGCGTCTTGACAGGCTTAAAATCTCGGGCTGACCATATCTGGCAAAGATGAAATATTTCATAGTCAAGATGTGAAACAAACAAAATAGTAATAACAAATAATAACTACAACTCGTTATCAATTTAGAAATCAAGGGTCTGAAAAGACGTATACCTTTGCTGTCAAATCATATGAAGCAGTTACAAGGAAATATCCCTCTTGTGGCTCAAATTTGACCTGTGATATGAGATTGGAATGTGCTGGAATGGTGTATATGGATTTCTTTTTTCTCAAATCCCATATTCTGCAAGTGTTGTCTTCACCCCCAGTGGCTAAATAATAGCCATTTGCTGAGAAACTGAGTGCAAGAACCTGAAAGATAGCCAAATACATGAATGAATCATGAACAATAAAAAATTATAATTAATAGTCCTCAAATAATAGTAGATAAAACTTAGAGTCTCACTTTCTTGACATGGCCTTCCAAGGCAAGAATACTTCTACCAGTACGGAGGTCCCAAACACGAGTAAGTGCATCCAGTCCAGAGGATGCCACCAATGATCCATCAGGATGGAAGTCTATCCCATAGACACTCCTACTGTGACCTTCTTGTAGAAGCAACTCTTCACCAGTTTCTACATCCCATAACCTCCAAGTCTGGTCAAAGCTAGTCGTACCCAAGTACTTACCTGATGGATGGAAGGCAATTCGTGCCAGACGGTCCAAATGGCCCTTAAATGTCAACAGCTGAGTTCCTTCTGTGTTCCACAACCTTGCAGTCCGGTCAGCAGAGGCAGTTGCTAAGAGGTTATGCACAGGAGAAAACTGAACATCAGTCAGTCGCTCTGTGTGTCCCTTTAAAGTGGTAACCTTCTTTGCTTCAGGCATGCTCCACAACTTGGCCACTCCACTTATAGCACTGACAAAAGCAAAACAACACAAGAAAAATTAATTCAACCTCTTGTACATACAATAGTATAGTCTCACAAAACCTACAACACTAGCAAAGGAAATAAATCATGACCACCCTCCTACACCTAGTTAGCAATAGAATCTTAATACGAAAAGGATGAAACCTTTTTTTCTTGACTTATACAGTATACTGACATGTTTACCTCTCAACTCAAGATAGCCATAGTCCTCGAAAATCAAATAGCATTATAGCAGGGAATAAACCATAAATTATCAAACTTAGCAATCAATTAAATTTGCAATTCAATTATACATAAAAGAGAGGCAAGGATATACATACCAAGTGGCAAGCAGTTGCCCATCATGTGAGAAAGAACAACCCGAAAGTGGCCTATCATCCCCAATCTCACTGCAATCAAGTTCCAAACTTTTTGCCTGCTCCAAAACCAAGTCCAACTCTGCATCCATATCCTCATCTGGGTCGTCCTTCTTTCTTCGAGCCCGTTCGAGCCGCAAGGCCGCCCTCCTAATGGAGTACTTGGCAATGTCAATCCTAGCATTCAACAAAGCTTTGGACCCTTCAGTGTAAAAAGGGTACTGAATAATTTGATCATCACCATCCTCCACTGCAGCAGTAGAAGCTGCAGCCTCCTCCTCCTCATGAACTTTCAACAACTTCTCCAACTCCCCTTGCGAATCCAGCCTCGCCATGATCATCCTCAACCTGTCTCGCCTTTCCATCTCTCTCTCCCCGAAGAGAGTAATGGGTTCGCCGAGCCGCCGAAGACGAGCCCTCACGGCCATGTCGTTGGTGGGAACAGCAAGAGCAGAAGCACGGCGCTTCATCAGCAGTTCCTGCATTGCTTTCTCCTGCCGCTCTCTCACCACTCTGCTCTCTTCCGATATCTCGTACTCCCCACCCGAAACGCCGGTAGCTCGTGGAGGCTCCTCCGAGTCGGAATCATCGGAGTCACTTGTGCTCGTCCTGGCTTCCCCATTTACTGGCGGCGGCGGTCTGAGGGGAGGAGCGCGGACTGGAGCAATTGGGACTGCTGCAACAGATGGCTCCGGTAAAGTTGATAGAGGTTTCTCCTCCTCCATAGCAATCTCGATACCTCAAGAGGAATTACTTTCTCTGTCTTTTGTTTTTCTCAGTGAGACATATAAACAAACAGTTGGTGCGCAGCGCAATGTGAGAAACCAGGGACGTAGCTAGCTGAATAAAGGACTGGCTGGGCTACTCAGATGCGATGAGAATCGCGAGAGCGAGAGAGAGAGAGAGAGGGGTAAGCTGAGCGGTGAAGGCCGGAGGGTTCCTAAATCCCAATTCTTCTTCTAATTTTAAATATAAAATAAAATAAAATAAAAATCTATTCTCTCTAGGTTTGCGTTTTCCAAAATTATCCCCGCTTGCTAAAATAAGATGCAACTACTCAAGCAACGTCAATTAGACATTGCGTTCGTATTATGTTTTTTTGTGCTCGTTTTTGTGTTTTATTCGATATCTTAATGAATTATGTCATGTAACATCTGTTAAATAAATGGATAATACGATCCAACCTAAATTTGACACGTTAATATTCATAGCAATATAACTCGATCCGTTATCCGTTAAGGAAAATATATTTAAATTACTTCAAAACATAAAAACATATTGTCTTTCAAGTATCACATAAATATTAATTAATGTAGAAGTGTGAAAAATGTAATATACATATACATACATACATACATACATACATACATACATATACATATATATATATATATGGATGCAAATTGCTTCCTCTTTGATCTTGGACAAAATTGCATCTACAAAACAAATAACATCTTAGGTCAAGGCCAAGAGCCTCACGCGCCTACGATGAATTGGGGGGAGCTTTGGCTAAAGAACCTCCGATGCCAAAGTTAGAAATTTGAGGGAAAAATGTTTGGAGAATTTTGAGAATTTAGCAAATAGAATTGGAATTGAGTTTTGGAGAGAATGAGAAGGCTTTTATAGGGGTGTGGCCAGCCTCCTTGGGTGAGAGAGGACCGGCCACTTGGCTCTCTTTGTGGGCTAGGTTCTTGATTTGTGTTTAATTGTGCATAATTGAATAATTAACTAATTAATTAGCCAATTAATAGAATAATTGCCTAATTGATTACCTAGTTAATATAATAAAAGGGAATGATTTGGGAGTTACATTGTGGAGAGGATTTGATGAGGATGGACAAAACAGGTTTTGAATTGTTACCTATTTTGGGCACTTTTGACTTGGTTGAGGGATGATTGCCCGCTGCTCGCGCGTAGGAATCTCGATGTGCCTTAAGGGTATTTTTGTCCTTTTTTATCCAAAGATCTACGTGTTACCTTGTGATTATTTTTGGCTCCACAAATGCCCCTACACCTGTTGGGCTGCTTATAGAAAAAGGTAACAGGTGTAGAGATTTTCTTGCTTTAGGAAACTTAGGACTGCTTCCTATTTTGATGTAGATTCCCTCTTTAATAAGCAATTAGATCCTTATAGGAATGGGAAATAAATTTCTCTTTGTTTGTACCATACTTAGGGCCTCCGTATTTAGATCTCGTATAAATACTCGGATGAGTCAAATGTAATTATGTAATAAAGGAAGGGGCAAATATGTAATAAGTGAGAATCCCTTATTCTATAAAAGGACTCCTCACTCTCCTCATTAGGGGAGACCAATTCTTAGGCATGACTCTCACCTTCTCAAAGCCTCACTCTCATTACAGAGGCTCTCTCTCTCCCTCACAATCCTCTTAGAGAAATACAATATCAGTGTGGACGTAGCCCAAACATTGGGGTGAACCACGATACATCTTGTGTTATTTACTTTCTTGCAGATTCACGATCGGATTTACGTTGTTCCAAGACCCCTCCGGTTTTGTGAATCAACACTCTCAAAGCCTATTTAAGTCCACCTTAAGTGAATTATTAAATCAACTTTGGAGAGCAATTTATTCTACCCTACAAGAGAGAGAGAAAGTTTAGAGGATATTTGTTCCCCTCTCATCTAGCTATCTTCTACATCTTGCTTGTGCAAAGGATCGTCTTTCGTTGCTTGCTTCATCTTCTTGTTGTTTCTAGGTAAGAAAAAATTAATTTTCTTGTCTACATTAAAAAAAAAAAAACTGTGTCGCTTTTAACCGACATAACGTTAGCGTCGGTTAAAAGATAATTGGTGTCGGTTCTGGGCGACACTAATGATAGTTTTTAAATATTTTCAAAGACAGTGTTGGTTGTGGCCGACATAGGTTTTAATTTTTATTAAAAATTTTGAAACCCGGTGTCGGTTGTAACTAACATAATGTTAGCGTCGGTTTAAACAAATATTTTCAAAGCCGGTGTCTGTTGTAGCCGACATCGGTTTCAATTTTTTAAAATATTTTGAAAACAATGTCAGTTTTAGGTGACGACTGGTGGATACCCTCCTCGTGTTTTCTCTTCCTTATTTGAGGCATCTGTTGATTTGACACAATCTTGATGTTATGCATATTGAGAAGAATATATGTGACAATGTGGTGGGAACACAAAATCTTATGTTATACGTAATGAAAGTATAAATAAACTTTAAGTGTTATTGTATCTATCGTTTTGATGGGATATGCATCCTACGAAACTAATTTCAATGATACAACCGTCAAACTTGTTTGTATATACTTCGAGATCGCATAGGCCAAAAATCGCAAAAAACAAACATTCAGAGATCAATTAAACGGACAAAACTTTTCGACGGTTATAAACGAAAAATCACGATTTAACGGTTATTTTAACTCCGATTTTGATGATTTTTTTACAGCTACACTCCTTGACCCTGTATGAATACAATGAATGAATTTGATCTTCAATTTAAAATATTTACACTAATGGATACCATAAAATCTTATGTTATACTTAATGAAAGTATAAATAAACTCCAAGTGTTAGTGAATCTATCGTTTTGATGGGATACACATTCTACGACACTAATTTCAACGATCCAACCATCAAACTTGTTTGTATATGCTTCGAGATCGCATATGTCAAAAATCGCAAAAAACAAACATTCAAAGATCAAGTAACGGGACAAAACTTTTCGATGGTTGATGGGATACACATTCTATGAAACTAGTTTCAACGATCCAACCGTCAAACATGTTTGTATATACTTCGAGATCGCATATGCCAAAAATTACATAAAACAAACATTAAAAAATCAAGTAATAGGACAAAACTTTCGACAGTTATAAACGAAAAATCACGATTTAACGGTTATTTTAACTCTGATTTTGATGATTTTTTATAGCTACACTCCTTGATCCTATATGAATACAATGAATGAACTCGATCTTCAATTTAAAATATTTGCACTAGTGGATACCACAAAATCTTATGTTATACTTAATGAAAGTATAAATAAACTCTTAAGTGTTAGTGAATCTATTGTTTTGATGGGATACGCATTCTACGAAACTAGTTTCAACGATCCAGCCGTCAAATATGTTTGTATATACTTCGAAATCGCATACGCCAAAAATTGCAAAAAAGAAACATTCAGAGATCAAGTAACGGGATAAAACTTTTCGATGGTTATAAAACAAAAAATCACGATTTAACGGTTATTTTAACTCCGATTTTGATTATTTTTTATAGCTACACTCCTTGACCCTATATGAATACAATGAATGAAATCGATCATCAATTTAAAATATTAACACTAGTGGATACCACAAAATCTTATGTTATACTTAATGAAAGCATGAATAAACTCTCAAGTGTTAGTGAATCTATTGTTTTGATGGGATACGCATTCAACGAAACTAGTTTCAACAATCCAACCATCAAACATGTTTGTATATACTTCGAGATCGCATACGCCAAAAATTGCAAAAAACAAACATTCAGAGATCAAGTAATGGGACAAAACTTTTCGACGGTTATAAAACAAAAAATCATGATTTAACGGTTATTTTAACTCTGATTTTGATTATTTTTTTATAGCTACACTCCTTGACCCTATATGAATACAATGAATGAATTCGATCTTCAATTTAAAATATTTACACTGATATTTTATAATAAAATTATATTTATGAATGAATTTGATCTTCAATTTAAAACTGATACTAATTATTTTATATATTTTAAGTATTAATTAGACTATGTTTCAATTAGTATGTGATGATATTTTATAATAAAATTATATTTATGTTTTTTATTACTTATTTTATTCAAGTTAAATATTATTTATTAAAATCTTAAAATGCTATATCACATAATTTGAAATGGATGGATAAACATTAGGCGGGAAATGGATGGATAATTTGAAATATTAGGTGGGAAATTTTCTACTTGTTTTGCAGAGGAAATGTATTCTCAGACTTAGTGTCAGTTTTAACCGACGTTATCATCTTTTAATTCGACACAAGTTTCATTAAACCGACGCTACATGAATTTCAAAAAGTGTCTCAGAAGTTGGTGTTGGTTAAGACCGACACCAACATCAATTTAAACCGACGCCATATTTTCAATAAAGAGTGTTAAAAAGTTGACTGGTTCATTTAACTCGATGTGAATATCAGTAAAGTGTGTCAGGTTGGGGTTGGTTAAAATCGACGCCATTTACATTTAATTCGACGTCAGTCAATTAATGTCGGTTTAAACCGACGCCAACTAAGTACCCATATTTAAACCCCTCTCTTTCCCATTTCATCCGTGCTTTCGTTTCTCCCCTGATTTTAGTCTTTCTTCTTCTCCTTCCCCATTTCATCCGTGCGTCCCTTTCTTCCTCCTTTTTTGTTTTTCCTCTTCTCCTTCCCGATTTTCTATGGATCACCATTTTGAAGATCAACTTTTTGAGGAACTCCAATTCAAAGAGGAAGAGCTCGAAGGTGGTTCATTTTTAAATTATTATGATTATTAATTTTAGTTTCTGTTTTGTATTCTAACTAGTTTTATGCTTAAATTGAAAATTTATTTTTGATTCTTGGTTTTTAATTGTTTTTTCTGTATTTATAAGGATCAACTCAACAGAGATGCGGACCCTCAATTCCGAATTGGAAAGAACATCCTTGTTCGTTTGATTCGTCTGGAAAATGCATTATTATAATTCTAGTGCGTTTTCAAAACATGTAGCGGCAGAGGTTAGAGATTACAGAATTATTTCGATAGTGGCATACTGGAATAAAGAAAAAACAAAGGTAAATGTTTCATGATTTATTTTATTTTACCTTGAAATTTGTCTAATAAATTCTTTTATGCCGAAAAAAATAAGCATAATTGGCAGTTAAAAACTATGAACCACACAACCGATTCAAAATCTTTTGCAAGAGTTTGGGAAGAATTTGTATATTTT